TATTTTAACTACGTTTTTTTTATTGTCTTTTAACTTTTGATCAATTTTATGACTATTTTTATACCTTTGGTTTTTATATTTTTCTGAATAAATTAATGTTATTTATTTTCATCAGCTTTGTCTCGCGTTTTCATTCGATATAAGAACCGGCTATGATTGACATAAACGTTCTGACTGAAACGCCTCTAACATTAAGTTAGAATAAACTGTGATTACTCAATTATACATTGCACACTTATGTCCGTGTCCGACTCTCATCTTTTGGTATTTTGTTTTTATTATACATAATATAAATGTCTAATCCTTATTTTCCAGATGCATGTGCCCACCAATATAAAAGCAATTTCTTGAAATCAACTTTATTAGGGTCCATTAGTACATGGCTTCGCTGCCATTCAAAAAAGAGGGCTGCAGAAAATCATTAGATACCAACGGGATTGACACCAACGGGATCGACAATTGCAGCGACGATTTCGAGAGCAATTAATTAAGCTCTAGATATACCAAAATAGCGCACAGGTCCTCCGTTTTTTACTTACTATACCATATCGTATATCAATAAAGCCTTGTGTCCACGATGCTAGAAATCAGTCCGAGACCTCGGATGAAGAAAGAATTGACTAATCGCAATGGTCATGTGATCAAATTGTTCAAATGTGATTTGTTAATTTTTTCTCTGCCCGAGATCTCGGACCGATTTCTAGTATCGTGGACATTGGGCTTAATACTAAGCGCTTATTGGACTACAGACAACTAGATCAAAATGGCGGTCGAAATAGCCAATAGGAAAGTTATCGGTATTTCGGCTCAGATAAAAGGAATGCGCTAGTGGTGTATCTAGAACTTCAAGAACAACATGATGTGTGTAAAACAGTATTGTCCGTGCGATCCGATCACAGAGAAAGTAAGAAGATGTAAAATTAATAATTGCTAATCAATAATAATCGTTGATCACCATTTCACATAAAAATATAGAATGTTATCTTTTAAATGCTTCTTCACCGAGCTCGATATAATCATTTGTCGCTACTCTCCCAAATTTAAGATACCTCTGTCATTAGCTAAAATTATTACGGTTGTAATTCTTCCCAATATAAACTGCATGAAGTTTGACTAGTTGGAATTGAACCTTATTGTATGTGTGCGCGTGCGTGCATATGCTCGTGTGTGCGTATGTGTGTATACGCGCATTTGAGTGTTGTGTGCGTATGGTGTTAGCATATTGCAAGGATAAAAACGGCCCTGTGATTCATCAGCTTCACAAAAAAGACTCCAAACCATCCGTATGGTATGTGTGCACACACATGCACTGCAGGCAGGCGCACAAACACACTCACTCATTGCTGACTCACTCGCACACTCATTGCTCACTCACTCGTACACTCGCTTACTCGCTCACTCACTCGCTCGCTCACACACTCACTCGTTAACTCACTCACTCACTCATAAACGCACTCACATACACGTATACACTCTCACTCTCTCTCTCACACACACTTCCACATACACACATATCACAAGAAGAGTTTGGAGTTTTAAAATATTGTGACGCTCGGGGTCGTTACCCTTGTGATACGCAACGTATCACACATACACGCGCGCGCGCACGCACACACACACACACAATGAGGTTCAATTCTGACCAATCTAACTCCATGCAGTTCACATTAGGACAAATTAAAACCATAATTTCGGATAATGACAACAGTATTTTAAATTAGAAATAACTTAGCAAAAAGTGATCGCATTGAGTTCAGTATAAAGAACCATTTTGAAGATAACACTATTTTTTTCTGGCAGAATAATGATCTTTGATTATCAATTTTATATCTTCTTACTTTGTTATCTGTCAAATAATATTGTTATTCTTCCTAATTTTTTTACTGGATAGAGTAGTATCTATTATTTTAAGTAGTAGTATTTTGTAGTATCTTGTTAGCATTTTTGTAGTTTTTTGCTACATGTTACTATTTACATGTTTGTAATTAAATCTCATAAAACAATTGCAGTCATTTTGTTATTTCAATGTTCTCAAATTTTTTCACTCTATCTAGAGAATAAATTCCATGCAGTACTTGCAAAGCGCAGGGTAAATGCAGTTTCATAGTGCTTCTACAGCGTTTTCCGAGCGCTTTGCAGGCGCTGCTGTACTACGCGGAAGTGCTGTAAGTGTGCTATAAAACTGCATTTATTCTTTGCTGATTATATGCGCTTTTACAATGTTTTTTGAGCGTTTTACAGGCACTGTTGTGTTATGTGAAAAGTATTGTAAATGTGCTATAAAACTGCATTTATTTTTCGCTGATTGTATGCGTTAATAGTGTGCTTTTCATAATGGATTTTGAAAGCGCTTTTAAAGCGCTAAAAACTGCTAGAGTCATGCACCTGCATAAGCACTTTTTTAGCGTTTTATAAGCGCTGCTGTGATACGTGAGAGCTATTGACCAGTTATATATACAATTGACTAATTTCATAACATGTATGAAACTAGTTTACACGTCTCGATTTACGCCAAAGTTATAACATACAGGTCATTATCGGTAATTCATTAAAGCGAGCAACGCGAGGCTATACGACACGACGCTTCGCTTGATATTTGGTTTCATTGTCGCGAATGATAAAGCGACGCGGCTGTCCGCGCAGCGACATTGAATCGCAGATGTGTTACACGCGTGCGCGCCCGCATGTTATTCATCGCTCATCGGACAAACTGATAATTAATATCTGCGGTGTGTGCAGAGTTGTGCTATTACATTGTATTTCAATTACATCGTAATTCAATTGCGTTGTATTGAATTATATAATTCAGGTTTTTCAGTTAATTCAATTGCTGATCATTTTAATGATAAATATAATTGAAATACAATATAATTGAAAAGCAATGTAATTGAAGTACAATGTAATTAAAATATAATGTAATAGTTACATTATAACTGTCTGAGTTGCAGTTCACAACTTTGAAGAAGACTGAGATTAATTAATTTATTTGTTTATATAAAGAAAATGTAATAGACTTTATTTCAGTTAAGATGTTATAATACTATTTATCACTCATAATGATCGCTTTCTGTTTGAATTTCTCATCTCTTAATTCGTAATTCTAATTCAATTACATTGTAATTTGTAATGAATTAATAATTTAAAGGGTTACACCACTTTGAAACTTTGAAAAAAGTCTTTAACTGCTATAAAGTTTATTCAAGTAAATATTAAATATGGTTATGTAAGCATTTCCATTTCATGGTACATAGATTCCCAGATAAAAATGTTGTCTGTTTATACCCGCACTTCTAAGTACGTTAGGTATTGCAAAAAATTTACGACATAAAATTTACTGGTTTTTATTAGGAAATAACATAATCCGATTTATGTATGTAAGTATTCCTGTGTTTAAATTAGTAACGACTTCTTATGGATTTCCCAATAAAAGATGGATCTATAATTGCATGAAGATTGGAACTCAATTGAAAACAGATAATAAACGGATTTATCCTGAATTCCAAATATGCATCGGACAGAACAAGATTCGCAGACAAGAGGCATAGAATATATCTGGAACTCCAAATATTGGAATATAACGGAATTTCTGTAAAACAAATTCGACTTGAATTATCTGGAATTCCAAATATGCGTCGGGCAGAACGGAATTTGCAGGCAAGATTTGACGTTGAACTTATCTAGAATTACAAATGTATTTTTGATATAACAGCCCGAGTAGAAATTGAATGTAGTAGCTGACTAGGTATGAGCTAATAAAATTGCGTTGTACAGTCGCGGACACTGAGGTTGCAACACTTTTTTCTCGATGGTTTGCAGAACACGCAACAATTTTCAGAGCGCGATCTACCATCTATTGATACGTGTAACGATCGGTTATAATCATATAGAATCGAAGTATATAATGTGACAGAAATGTATCTTGCGCGACGCGACAAACTCTTAAGATATTAATTGGATACTGTAGGATTAGGGTAAATATAAAAGTCAAATAAACAATTTTGTTTAAAAATTTACATTTCCAATCGTTGAAAATTAATGGAAGGTCACATATATAAAAATTTTCACATAATTACATATTAATATATAATATGTATTATGTAATTATATATTATTATTACATAATAATTTTTTATGCAAAATTTAACGGGACTGTTCTCTTATTTGGCTTTTTATATTTTTATTTTTAGACCGTATATGTGAGAAACACAATCATTACTAGAAATTTAAATGCCTATTACGGTCGAAGCTGGATCTTCGTTGCTTTTTAAATAATTCAGTCTTGAATTACTAATATATACTATATATGTACTTGCATATATACCATATTGTAGTCTTTTTCACACACACACAAACTGCGCGCCGAATTGTTTTTCCGGGTTAAATAAACGCAATTAAAACTGTCAGAATCTATGTTTGGTTGTTGGCATCGGTCAAAGAAAGTGTAGGGTGGCGCTAGTGACATGCATCTAGTGTTATTATAGTTTATGAGAGTTATTGGTAGACACACGGTGTCTTCGTGAACGCTTGAGATAATTCAGCCATATTACCTTGTATCAAGAAATAAAAAATATTCAGATTCATTGCCGTTGCCTACGATCACGAAGAAAGATTATTTCCAAAAACCTTAACGACAGTCAACTATACAAACAAACATGGTCCTTCGAGCCGGATCCCGGTGAGTCGAGCTGGGAGAAAAAGATAGAGCAAATTCACAAGGGTGGATAGGACGGAGAGCGGCTAGGAAAAGCAACAACCACGCCGTTTTCTTCGAGTCTACACAACCAGTACCTATATTCAAAGGCACTCCACATCATATTACAAGGCGAACGAGCCATTTTTTGCAAGGATCAGCGAGCACGAGGGGCGAGCGATTCCACACGGACGAGGTTATAGTGCCACCAGAGAAGACAATAACCAAAGATATCCATTAAGGATAAGCGCAATTATATTTAAGGTTAGGCGAGAGCATTCTCATTTAGTCACTATTTCAATAATCAAAAATGTCGTTAAAGGAAGAATTGACTAAACTTAAGACTAGCAGGAGAGTAGCAAAGGCTAGTATTACTCGCATTGAAAAGTTTATGAAAGATATGGATAGTAATACAGTCGATCTCGATGAGTTAAAGCTGAAGGTAGAGAGACTAGAGGAACTGTGGCAATCTTTATTAGAGATCCAAATAAATATAGCGGTATACGATAGTGAAAGCACAGATGAACAAGTCGATTTAGAAATAGCTACTTTGGAAGAAAAATATATGCATTTAAAATTAATAGCAAGTAGAACAATGGAACGGCGAGTAAGACCAGCTTCCGTTACTAGTAATATTGAGCAGGCATCGGAAATAGTTAATTCTTCTCGAGTAGGAACTCGTGAAAATCTAGTTAGATTGCCAAAAATCGATTTACCGTCTTTTTCGGGAGCGTATGAAGATTGGCATCCCTTTTTCGATATATTTAATTCATTAATACATTCTAATAATTCGTTGGGAGACATTCAAAAGTTCCACTATTTAAAATCAGCATTAAAGGGAGAGGCAGCCGAGACTATAGCCTCAATAGAAATCTCCGGGCTTAACTATGCAGATGCCTGGTCAAGGTTAAGAGAGCGATATGAGAACGAACGCTTAGCGGTTCAGAATCATATAAAGGCTATTTTTGAATTACCAATATTGAGAAAGGAAAATTGCGTAGTTTTAAGAAATATACTTGATGGTGTTTTAAAACACACCAGGGCATTACAAGCTTTAAGGCGTCCTACAGCTCAATGGGACGACTTACTGATACATATTATAACTGGTAAACTTGATTTTATAACTATTAAGGAGTGGGAAAATAGTTTGGAGACTAGAGAATTACCCACATTTCAAGAATTTGTAGAATTCCTAAAAAGAAGATGTCAAACTCTCGAGGCCGTAGCCAGGAGAACACAACTTACCATTTCAAACGTTAATTCAAGACCAATTATCAATGCAAAGGTAACGACATCCCATGCGGCGGTAGTCAACGCAAAATGCGTGCATTGTAAAGGGGATCACCAAATCTATCAATGCAAATCTTTTAAAGAGCTTTCAGTAACAGAACGATTAAGTAAAGTTAAAGCTCTGAATTTATGTTTAAATTGTTTAAGAGGTAAACACATAGCTAAGGACTGTAATTTTAGTCATTGCAGAAAATGTTCTAAAAAACATAGCACGCTATTACACGAGGATCGTACGCTTTCAAAGGATAACAAGGAAAATATAGAGAACGTAAAAACCGAATCAGAAACAAGCAAAACGATTAACTCTGTATGCGCTTATTCTCAATTCAAAGAAGTATCTGATATTAATCAGATACTACTAGCTACTGCCATAATTAGGGTTCAAAATCAAAATGGTCATTATGTGGGGAGAGCGTTGTTAGACAACGGATCTCAATCAAGTTTTATAACAGAGGATTTATTTAAAAAATTGAACTTGACGGCAAAAGAAAATCGGGTAGAAATCAATGGAGTTAATTCAGTTGTATCTCATGCTACAAAAACGGCAAATATAAAAATAACTTCGCGCTTCGGTACCTTCGGCACGGAAGTACAATGCATAGTATTACCGAATATTACAAAAAGATTACCAGAGGCAGGATTCAATGTAGCTAGGTTGAATATACCGTCAAATATTAAACTAGCCGACCCACAGTTCAATATTCCCAATGAAATAGACATAGGAGCGGATAGAATTTGGGAGCTAATATGTGTCAGTCAAATAAGATTGGGAAATAAATTGCCGGTGTTACAAAAAACATTATTAGGCTGGATAGTGGCGGGTCCTCTAGGTATTACGGGGTTAGAACAAAGAACACAAACGCAATGTAATTTAAGCAAAATAGAACAGTTAAACGATACTATGCATAAATTTTGGGAAATCGAAAGATATAAGCAGGAAAATATAACTTGTCTGAGCAGGGAAGAAGATTATTGCGAAAAGTTGTTTAGAGAAACTTATAAGCGCCAAGCGGACGGTAGATTTGTAGTAAAATTGCCCGTCAAGGAAGAGGCCTTAGCGGTATTAAAAGATTCAAGAGAAATAGCCTTAAAAAGATTTCTAAGTTTAGAAAGAAAGCTGGCAAGAGAATCAGAGTTAAAGGTAGAATATGTTAAATTTATGAGAGAATACTTAAAGCTAGGACATATGAGACACAAGATAAGTACGCAAGGGAGCGAAAATCGAATCTTCCTACCACATCATGCGGTAGTAAAGGAAGACAGCGTAACTACCAAAACTAGAGTCGTTTTTGATGCATCGAGCAAAGGGAGTGCAGGTGGATCGTTGAACGATGCTCTTTATAAAGGACCCATCTTACAACAGGATTTATTTGCATTAATAATACGATTTCGATGTTTTAAATACGTCTTATGCGCGGATATTTCTAAAATGTATAGACAAATTTTGATACACGAGGAACAAACTCCATTACAGAGCATTTTGTGGCGGGAAGATTCGGAATCTGAAATAGAAGAGTTTGAGCTATTAACAGTAACTTATGGGACCAAGCCAGCTTCCTTTTTAGCAGTCAGATGTTTACATCAACTCGCAGAACTAGAAAAGAAAAATTTTCTCAAGGCTGCGGAAGTGATAACCAGAGATTTCTACATGGATGATTTGCTAAGAGGAGGAAATACAGTTCAAGAAATACGAGATCTAAAGGTAGAATTAATAGAAGTATTAGCAAAAGGCGGTTTTGAATTGCATAAATGGAATACTAATGTAAAGAACATGGAAAATGATAGGCAAAGTAACAAGGCAGTAGACATCAGTAAAGTAGAAGGTTCTAAGTTATTGGGGATACTGTGGGAACCCCACAAAGATACATTCCATTATCAAGTGGAAACGAGGGATTGCGATGCACGTGTAACTAAGCGAGCTATTTTATCACAAATCTGTAAGTTATTTGACCCAATGGGGTTAGTAGGACCTGTGATTACTTTAGCTAAAATATTAATGCAAAAATTATGGAATTTAGGGTTGGACTGGGACGAATCAGTCCCAATGGACATACACGAAGCATGGAGCAAAATGAGAGCTCAATTACATTTACTTAATACCTTAAGAATTCCTAGGCTAATATTGTCAGGTGAGGGGAAATCCGAAATACAGTTGCACGGATTTTGTGATGCGAGCGAGAAAGCCTACGGTGCGTGCATATATTTACGTGAAGTACATACTTCAGATAAAATAACTATTTCGCTAGCTTGTTCAAAATCACGGGTGGCGCCTGTTACGTCCGAGGTTCCGCATACATGGAACCTGAGGGGGTGAACGTAACGCGAACCGAAACGCCTTATCGTCAGTCCCAGCTCCGGACCGCAAAGGGGCTAAGGGGAGGGACCGATTTAACGGGAAGCACTTCGCTTCGCCCTTTGGCCACTTGGTAGAGCCGGGGGTTCGAGGGAGGACGAAGCGGAAGCCTCTCTCGAGATCGACACTCCGCTGAGTGCCGCTCGAGGCAAACGCACAGGCTAAAGGCCGGGAACTAGGTCAGTGTGCCTTAAGGGCACGCTTCTATCCTAGTAGGGGCCAGTGCGTTCGATGCCCTTATTTTCGGCCTTGGAATTTAATCCAAAGGACCAGGGATTGGACCGAGTGCAATCTTGGTGTTAACAGAAGGAATACGAGGAGGTGTTACTCGAAATTAAAACAATCAGGGTTTGAGCATTAAGTAATATAATTAAAATTAAGAATTTTTATTACATTGCAATTTAGATATATACGAGGGTTGTCTGAAAAGTTTCCGACCTAACAAAGAAACAAGACATTTTTTCTTCAAATTTATTTTTATTTTTCTACATAGTCTCCTTGTAAGTTTATACACTTCTCCCAGCGATGTTCCCATTTCTTCAACCCGTCCAAATAATACTTGGCGTCTTTCTCTGCAAAATAGTTGTTTACGAAGGTGATGGCCTCCTCATTCGACGAAAATCTCTGTCCTCCGAGCGCAACTTTTAGCTTAGGGAACAAAAAAAAATCGCTTGGGGCTAGATCTGGTAAGGAGGATGGTCAAGCAGTTCAAACCATAATTCGTAGATTTTCGCCATGGCAACCGCTAAGGTATGAGACGGCGCATTGTCTTGATGAAACAACATTTTTTTTTCTGCAAATGTGGCCGTTTTTCTGCAAATGTGGCAATTTCTGCCTTCAGCTTGTCAAGTAATGATGCGTAGTATGCTCCTGTAATGGTTTTTCCTTTTTCAAGATAATCGATTAAGACAACTCCATGACTATCTATATAGAAAACAGTCACCATAACTTTCCCAGCCAAAGGAACAGCCTTTGCCTTTTTTGAAGCCAATTCCCCCTTCGCAGTCCACTGTTTTGACTGTGTTTTTGTTTCTGGAGTATAATGGTGTATCCAAGTTTCATCTACAGTAATTAATCTATGCCAAAACTCTGATTTATTGCGCCTAAACTGCGCCAACAGAGCGTTGGAAATGTTCATTCGAACACGTTTTTGGTCCGGAGTGAGCAAATGCGGCACCCAACGTGCGGTCAGTTTTCTCATGCCTAAATCTTGATTCAATCACGTTTTTTGGACATGTTCATAGCCTCTGCTATCTTTCTAATCTTAATTCGACAGTTGTCTAGCACCATTTGGTGAACTTGAGCGATGTTATCGTCAGTGGTTGCAGTTTTTGGCCGTCCCAAACGTTCATCGTCACCCAAGCTGGTACGGCCACATTTAAATTCAGCAGCCCAAAATTTC